GACTTACTAAGGCAACTGGCACTCGAGCTAAGTCTTAAAGGAAGAGCAGGATTTCACCAGTGGGAAGGGCAGCACATGGAAGGGCATGGAGCAGCCTAGAGGCACTCACTTAGCCCAGCTTGGATTCTCCATGCCTTAGCAGAGGAATTAGCACTTTCACCTCCTCTAACAGAAGTGCAGGCTTTTGCCAGCAGATGAGGGAGGTAAGCCCCAGAGACGCTGCCTTGGACAAGCTGCCTAACCTCTCAGAGACAGGGCAAACTAACTTCTAAGCTCAGGTTTCCTTCTTTTTCTCCTTTTTAATCTGAACAATAAGAATTCCCCCATCACCTACCTGAAAGGATAATTGTGAGAACTGCTTAAGATAATGTAACAAGAATCTAGGACATAATAGTATGCAGTTAGTGTAAATTCTCTTCCCTTCTCCCACCCTAGCAAATAAACTCCTTCCATCTTCTCCTCTAACCTCTTTTCCCAGGCTCTTCCCAATTTTATCCCTCTTCCTCCCCCTTCCAGATGGCAATTAGCCAATCAGCCTCTATATAAAAAGGAAATTTGGTTCTGTGCTACTGAAGTGGAGAAGATAGGTTAAAGGAACACTGGGGCTTCCGGTTGGGCAATATGATCCATAACTTCTGACAGCTAGCCACATGGGGAAGGGGAGATAAGTATTAACCTTGATGTCAGGGGAAACTGTCCACACTGATACCCATTATGGAAACACATACTCAGTCTGGTTTTGGCACCCTTCCTTGGTACTGCCATTAGACCTGGTTCACATGTTTTATCACAGCCCTTGATAACTGTTCTACAACTGTTTATCTGTCCCCAAGTCTGTGAGCTCCTTGAGGACAGAGACTGTCTTTCTCACCTCTGGAGCTTCACTCCTATCTCAGTGCACACCCTTTAACGGCACACTATGCAATGATTAAAGACTAAAGAAAGCACAAGAGAAGAAACACTGCTTATTTTCAGCACGGTTGCAGAAGAGGAACATTAATTTAGTCATTCGTGGGAATGGTTCCATTCACAACTAGTCACTCTGGCTACATTAGAAAGTTCCTCTGTTGAAAACTTACAATTTGGAGGACATAGTGCTCTAAACCTTTAATCCCTGCTATTCCTTAGGTGTGGCAGAAACTCCCACCTTGGGCAGGAACAGAGGGTCACTATACAGGGCATACATATATGGGGCAACATTCCAAGGCTGTCTTACAGGTCCAAATGAAAAGGTCTCCTCAAATACACATTTAAGCAGAAACCCACTGTCCAAAAAGCTATTGCTTATCTCTATGTACATAAAAAGACCCTCTCTTACTCCCTGAGACATTCACACCAAAACACCCTAATAAAGAACTACATTAAAAGGTAGAGAAGTGAAACCAAAACCAACCACAAAAAGCTGTCTACGAGATGTGTTCAGAATCTGTGTGGGTGATTTACATGTGTGACATTCCTTAAAATGTTAAGAGGGCAAGAACCATGAACTATGTTCTAGAGTACATAGCTCCATTGTGGAGCCTTAGAAAGTACGGGCAAAGCAAGAATGCAGCTATTTAGTATTTGTCAAGCAGGCATTTGAGGGCCACACTAAAAGATCCTAGTTAGATACGTTATTTCCCTCCGTTTACAGATGAGAAACTTGGGCTTCTAATAAATGTCAGTTGAATGAGGACACAGAATTGGACTCAGCCTGTTAAAGCTCCTCTTGCGTCGTCTTTGCCAGGTACTGGACATGTTCAGAATTATCTCAGTTAATCCTCACATCCACCCTGCAGGGAAGTTTTAGCCTCCCCATTTTACAGTGGCAGACAGGAAGGCTTAGAAAAGGTAAGCCATGGGCTTCTTCCCCATCCTCTATCACCTAAGTTTTGCCCTGGGGAAAGGCAACTTCTTCCCCTCCAAAATGTCTCAATACCTGAGCACATGCTGTAGGATCAAATCGAGATGTTTCGCTATAGGGCTACTTAGCACCAGAGAGTGGGAAAGACATGGATTTTCTGTTTTTTAAGATTTTATTTTTCCTTTTTTTCTCCCAAAGTCCCCCAGTACACAGCTGTGTATTTTTAGTTTTGGGTCCTTCTAGTTGTGGCATGTGGGATGCTGCCTCAGCACGGCCTGATGAGTGGTGCCATGTCTGCACCCACAATTCGAACTGGGTAAACCCTGGGCCACCGAAGCAGAGTGCGCGAACTCAACCACTTGGACACGGGGCCGGCCCCAGGGACATGGATTTTAAGGCCAGCTGCACGAAGCCGGAATCCCATATGCACTGTTACTTACCCAGATAGGACACTGGGCACACTCACACACAGTCCCGATTCCTCAAACACCCTATTCCCCACCCAAAGTCAGTCTTGCCAAAGACCCTTTGGGAGTTCAAGACTTTGCATGTTCAGGAACAGATCACATTCAGAATCCCCAGACCACTTCACGGGACTGGGGAAAAAATAACCACAACTTCCCCTGCCCTTAGTACCTCCCCTCAAAGAGCTGTTCAGCCTCATCTGGAAACAGCTGGGAGGCGGCAGTTAACAGGAAACCAAACCAAAAGAAAGCACAGAGTGTACCAGGGAGTTAGGCAGCTGAACGAAGAGGCCAGGGGACCGACAGGAAGTTGAAGTTAGAAAGAGCCTAGGCCAGAAACAGTCGCACAGAAGAGGAGGCCCAGCTGGCCTCCCCCTCAGCCCAAGGAGAAGGAGAAAACCTGGAAAACCAGTGGTGAAGCCTCAAACCCCACTGAAAATGAAGTTAGACCACCTGAGAGGTTAAGTCTTCTTTCCTCCCTGCCCCCGACCTCGACCCTACTTCTCAGAAAGCCAGCGAGTGGTCACGATAGGACAGTTAAGGTCAGAAACTCAGTTCTGTTCTCGAGCTGCTTTCCGTGCCAAAGGATACAGCACAGACAACTGGTTTTGAGTCATTCCTCTCTCAATCTGTACCAAAGTTCCACACTGCCAACTAAACTCGGGGACCGTCCAAATCAGCCTCCCATAGAGAGACAAAGAGCATCTTCATGAGAAATTACTAGGCAGATATTCACTGCGGACCTGCAGAGGCAGGATTTGTACACAGGGAATACCTGCAAAGCAAGAGAGCCAGAGGGGATGGAGGTCCTGAAGGGCAAGGTAAGTCTTGAAACAAACTAAGGGTGCATTTTTCAATGAAGAAAGTTAACTGAGCAATGGCCAGGTGCCAAAATATTTTTGAAAGAAGTAAAAAAAATATGCCACTACTAAAATTCTTTGGTGTTAGCCCATGCCGCCTGCTACTCAGTCATCCATTCTCTCCCTGTACATGTAGAAGTTTATATTAAAATAAAAATGAGGATTAAGTTCTCTTAATAAAACATTCCTGTCCTTCACCTCTAGTTTTGTTTGAAAGGGCTCTCTCAAAGTGTAGCACATGCTACAATCTAGTTGGGTTTGATTCCAATGGAAGTGCTCAAACTTTGAGACTGAGTAAGCAAGGCTAAAAAGACGGCTCAGGGCTGCAATCTCAATACCATTTGCTTTTTTACAAAACAGAACATCTTCGCAGGCTCAGTGCCAGGTGAAGCCGGCAGGACCAAAGAATCAGAGCAGAGCCTGACCAATGTGTCACGTAAGGGGATGGGAGAAGAGCTAAGGGTAATGTACAATCATCAGAGAACCCTTCAGAAGAGGAAGGGGGGTTCATTTCAGGAACACAACGAAGGAACAAGTTGACTAATCATTTATTCCAGAGGGGGAAAATGCCACCCAGAGCCATGTATCTAGTGTTTTAACTTCAGGTAAATGTGTAATGTTTTAACTTGGATATATCTGGGGCTCAGGGCTCTCCAAAAGGAGGGAGCGGGGGGTTGTTCCTGCTCTTCTTTACACTGCTTCTGGAGTCTCCTAGGAAACTCTTCCTGCGCTGCCTGCAGAGTAGACCTAAGACAGCCCCAGCCAGTCCAGTTACTAATGCAATAACTCCCATTCAGCACAGATCCTATCATGAGCTTTGCGCAGGGCTGGGCTGCTATGCACTGCAGCTAGCCCAAAGAAGTTCTGTCGCTGAGGCAGAAGTTACCTGAAGCAAATACCTAACATACACACTGAGGAAGGATGAGAGAATGGAAAGACGTCTTAATCCTTGAGGGTCAGGCATCTCTGTGACTTAGGAAAAAGGGATCTCCTCCTGGAACCAAATCCACATGTCAGGATGGTGTCTGGGATGCCTGCCCTAAACACTGACATCCCCATATCATGTTTCAGGGTTGGCCAGAGAACTCTCCAATTTGCCAGGAGGACAGACTGCACCTCCAACAGCTGTGGCTCCAAACGCCTTCCTAGGAGGCATCCAGGGCCCCTCCCAAGTTGGAGGAGGGCTTTCCAATAAGGGGGATGTGAGGGGACCCAGCTTCCCTCTGCCAGGACAATAAGAAAAGTAGCTAACATTTATGGAGCATCCAATTATGTGCCAGGCACTGAAATAAGCACTTTACCTATCTTATTCCATCCCCACAACAGCCAATGGAGGCAGATACTACTGTCATCCCCTCTTTATAAAGGAGGAAATAGGCTCTGAGATTTTACACAACCATTAAACACAGTGGAGCCAGTGCTTAAGCCACCCCCTGGACAGGTGATCTTAGCCACTACTCGATATTGCTGGAAACAAAGCATTTGGGGTAAGGGGCGGAGAGAGTCCAGTAACATAAGGTGCAGCCTGTATTTACACCTCTCTCTTGCCCAAAATCGGTGGCCTGGGGACACTGGAGGGGAAGGCCTGGATGGGAACGTGGAGCCGGAAGAACCCAAGCACTGCTGACAGGAGAAGAGGCCAGGACCCCGGCCGCTCTCGCTTCCTCTGGGGACCCCAGACCCTAACTCCTCCCGAAGGGGGAAGACCCAAAGGGAAGGCGTGAAGCCAAGGAGCCCCCAGGCGGCTCGGCCCTCCACGCCAGTTTTGTCAAAGAAGGAAGCCCTGCTCGAGGTGGGGCGGGCCGGGCCCGCCGGGGGTCGCCGAGTCCCTACCTGTAGGCCAGGGTCATGCACTCAAAGAGCTTCGTGAGCGAGGCGTCGATGGACAGGTGGCAGGAGCTGGTCTTGCCGAAGCTGTAGGTCTGACACGTCTGCTTGTTGACCGTGTCGAAATCGTAGCCCTTCTTGGGCGGGTGCTCGCGGTGCGGCGACGACACCATGAAGTGGCCGCTGTGGATGATCTGCTGGCGGCGCGGAGGCTCCTCGCGGCCCGACCCGGCCCGGGACGGCTGCGGCGCGGCGCTCGCCTGGGCCCGGGCCGGCGTGGCCGAGCCGGAGGCGGGCGGCGGGGACGGCTCATCCGTGTCCGAGTCGTCGTCGTCCTCGGGCACCTGGGGCTTGAGCAGCATCGGGCGGCACCGACTGCGCGGCCGGCGCGGGGAGCACATGAAGACGTCGGTGGCCATGGGGGGACCCGGCCGGGGGCATCCCCCGGGGCCCGGGGCGACGCCAGGAGCGAAGCTGAGGGGCGCCGGCCCAGCCCGCGCGCCGACCGTCCGCGAGCGCGCGGCGGGGCGGGAGGGGGAGGGCGCGGGCCGAAGGGGCCGCCTCGGCGCCGGCCCCGGAGTGACGTCACGGGCGCGTCTCGGCCAATCGGCTGCCCGCGTCGGCCCCTTAAAGGCGCAGGGAAGCCTTTCCGCATCTAGGCGGACAAAAAAAGAGAGGAGGAGAGCCGGAGGCCACGCCTCCCGGCCCCGCCCCTCGCCACCCCCTCCCTCCGGGCTGCCCCGGGTGCTGCGGGACGTGATGGCTGGGTGGTGCCGCTCGCCAGTGCCGGGGCCTGGGAGAGGCGTTGGCCGAGCGGGCCGCGCTGACCCCGCCCGGCGGTCCGGAGAATCGCCCTGCGGCCTTGCTGCGGGCGGGGCGGGCGCTCCACGTGGTGGGTGGGGGTGGGGCTCCTTCCCCCTCACAGGTCCCGCTTTCTCTTGCAGGGCCCGGAACTGCGTTCTACCAGCTCGTCCCGAATGTTACTGTGTGCTGTCGTTATTGTCCCCATTTTATTGATGAGAAGACTGAGTCGCTGAATACCAAAGGGATTTTTCTAACGCGAAAACAAGAGCAAGAACTCTTCTCACTGTGACCTCACGTCCACAGACGTGCAAGCTGGCTCTGCCAAGTTAATTCACTTGACTAGGGCATCACAGCTAGTAAGTGGCAGAGCCGCCAGCTCCTTTACAACTCAAACTATTGTTAAGATCTTAAGTTTGGAAGGTGAACCAGCCTCCAAACAATTCCAAAAGGGGAAGTTCTGAGCCGTAGTTTTCTTCTCTTTCAAATAGAGAACAATTCCTATGCCTCAGAAAGTTGCGACAATTTAAAAAACGCCTTAAATTGCTTAGTACTGTGCCTAGCACAGAATGAGTGTTAAATAAATGTATGCACTAGACTGAAGGAATTGAACCAATCAGACCATGGGTACCTAGAAATTCCCAATACTCAACCACTTTTTGACTGCGAAACAGTAATTTCATATGGTTCAACCTAATACTTGACACTTCTAGAAAGCTGGCAAGGGGTTCAAAGCCAGCCTAGGGTGGGGACCGTGTGGGGAGGGTGGGGGATGGTAAGGCATCAGGAGGGTGAGCAAGGCCCCTGGGGCAGGAGCACCCACAGTCGTCCCGGCAGGGCCTCACGAGTCCTCCTCGAGGCGCCAGTGCTCTGCTTTGAAGCCATTTTCACTTCCAGATTTGGATGGGGGCCGACAGCCCCGCCCCACCCTCCTCCTGAAGGGGAGGGTGTTGGGAAGGAAGGAAAAAAGGCTCTTTCCAAAATGGCTGCACTAACTCCTTACTTAGATGTCTCCAAGGAGGCATAGGCCACAGCGACTGGCAGCCTCGGCATGAGTTTGAGATCTCCCCCTTGCCAAAACCACTGCTCTCAACTCTGGTTGCAAATGTCTGCAAGTCCACCCTTTGAGTTGCCTTCCTTTATCTGGAGACTTTTCCCCTCCGTAAACTCTTAAATGCCCAGCCACATTTATCACAGCAATTTCACTTCTAGAATTTTTTTTTTTTTGAGGAAGATTAGCCCTGAGCTAACATCTGCTGCTTATCCTCCTCTTTTTGCTGAGGAAGACTGGCCCTGAGCTCACATCCGTGCCCATCTTCCTCCACTTTATATGTGGGACACGTACCACAGCATGGCTTGCCAAGGGGTGCCATGTCTGCACCCTGGGATCCGAACCGGCGAACCCCCAGCCACTAAGCAGAACATGCAAACTTAACAGCTGCACCATGGGCGGGCCCCTAGAATTTTAACCTAAGGATATGTGTACAAGGACGATGATTGTAGCATCAATTATAAAGAGGAAACATTGGAAACAATGTCATGCCCAACAAGAGGGAATTCATTGAATATTATAACCCCCAATACAATGGAACACTACATATTAAATGATGTACATGTATATTTATTGACAGGGAAAGAAGTCCATGATATATTATTGCATGGAAAAACAACTTTTAAACAGTTATCGGTGGTTTGATATCAATTTCAAAAAACTATGTGTGTGTGTATATATATATATATATTAAGATTTAATTTTTCTCTTTTCTCCCAAAGCCCCCAGGTATATAGTTGTGTATTTTTAGTTGTGGGTCCTTCTAGTTGTGACATGTGGGACACCGCCTCAGCGTGGCCAGATGAGCAGTGCCATTTCCGCGCCCAGGATCCTAACCCGTGAAACTCTGGGCCGCCAGAAGCAGAGCTTGCGAACTTAACCACTCGCCCACGGGGCCGGCCCCAATATCTATTTTTATATGTATTTGTCATAAAGTACCATCACTATAATGTTGACACCAGTTATCTTTGGGCAGGGTGATTTTTTCTTCTCTTTTTTTTTTTTTTTTTTTGGAGGAAGATTAGCCCTGAGCTAACTGCTGCCAATCTTCCTCTTTTTGCTGAGGAAGACTGGCCCTGAGCTCACATCCATGGCCATCTTCCTCTACCAAGCGGTGCCATGTCCACACCCGGGATCCGAACCGGTGAACCCCAGGCTGCTGAAGTGGAACATGCAAACTTAACTGATGCACCACTGGGTGGGCCCCTGTTTTCTTTTTTATGCTTATTTATTTTTTCTAATTTCCAAAAGAAACAATTATTACTTGTATTCTTTTTTGTTTAGGAGTGTACTCTATTTCTCTTTGGTTTCTTGACACAAAAGACATCCATGTGGGAGGATGTATACTTTTTTTTTAATTAAAAAAAATGAACATCAATTCACTGGGAGAAGATAACCTCTTAAGGCTGATGTTGCAAACTGGCAATCCGTGGGCCATATTCGGGGCACAAACATACTTCGTTAATCCTCACCATAAATTCCTAAAAAACTGTATTAGAGAAGAAATAAGACTGGAGGGAAATCACAGTTAAAACTGCAGGAAGCAGAGGACCACCACGAACGAGATCTGGAGGAGGGCGCTCCAAGCTCACAATCAATGGCTGGAAGAAGGTCTCAGGGGCAGTTTTCCAGGAAATGTGGAAATGCTCGAAGAGGATCTAGGCTGATGGCCCCCACCTTCCTTCCTCCTGAATAGTGGGCAGCGACAGCAAGTGCACAGAGGGACCTGGAAGGCAGTGCCCCGGAGACTTAACAACTCCCGGGAAGGACAAAGAGCTCCCACACCCAACAAGCCACAAAGACACAGAACCTGATAAAACTGCCGTCTCTTGACCAAAAATCAGAAGCAGCACTCCGTTGTCATCAAATCAGCAATCAGGCAAATACGAATTCCCAAACGCATGTGTTACGGGCCAGCAAAAGCCAGCAAACAATTAAGGAAAGTCAGCACTCTGGAAGAAAGCTCCCTGAGAACTAACGCGTGAAGGGGAAAAGTTAACAAACAAAAGACTTTAAAAATAGTAGCCCTAGGGGCTGGCCCAGTGGCGCAGCGGTTAAGTTTGTATGTTCCGCTTCTCAGTGGCCCAGGGTTCACCGATTTGGATCCCGGATGCGGACATGGCTCCGCTTGGCACACCATGCTGTGGTAGGCGTCCCACATATAGAGTGGAGGAGGATGGGCACGGATGTCAGCTTGGGGCCAGTCTTCCTCAGCAAAAAGAAGAGGATTGGCAGCAGTTTGTTCAGGGCTAATCTTCCTCCAAAGAAATAACAATAATAATAATAGCCCTAGAAAGAATATGGAAAATTCTGCATGCGTTAAGCAACAACCCATTATGGGAAAGAAGCAAATAGAGGTCTTGGAAAATACATATAAATATAAAATTATAATTTTTAAACAAGCTGAGTTGAATAGCAAAATGAACAAGGTTGGAAAACACAGTAGTGAGCTAAAAGAGTAATCTGAGAATTTCTCCCATAAGACTGCCAAAAGGATAAAGAGAGGTTAACTAACATGGAGGATAATCCGAAAGTCCCAGGACCTGCCTGATAGTTCCAGAAAGAATGAAGAAAGTGAGAGAGAGAGAGAGGAAAAAATAGAGAGAGGAAATAATCAAAGCAGCAATAAAAGAAAATTTCCCAGTGCTAAAAACACAAGCCTTCTGTATGGGTTAGTATAGGGTGATTGTGCTGTGAAAACAAACCATGCCCAGATCTCAGTGGCTTAAAACCACAAAGGTGTGCTTCTGGTTCAAGCTACCTGTCTATAGGCTATGTGTCCATCGCAGGTCAGCAGGGGGCTCTGCTGGTCATAGTCACTCCAAGACTCAGGCTGACTGAGCAGCCACCATCACAAATGTTGCCCATCACTGTGGCAGAAGGGGAGAGAGCTCAACAGGATCTTGCATTGTCAATTAAATGGTCTGGCCCAGAGATGCCGTGTACTCACAACTCATTGGCCAGAAACAACTCATTGGCCAGAACTAATCACATGGCCCCACCTAACCACAAGGGAGCCAGGAAGTACAATCTGATCTGTGACCAGAAAACAGACAGCCAGAAATATTTGGTGAATGGCACTGATGACCACTATACCTTTGGATTTCAAAGGTCCCCATAAATGCAATACTATGGATGACTCTCAAAAGTATTATGCCAAGTAAAAGAAGCCAGGCTTAAAGGGCTGTATATTGTTTGATTCCATTTGTATGACGTTCGGAAAAGACAAAATCATGGGGACAGAAACCAGATCAGTAGGGGCCAGGAACTGGGGGACAGTGGTCTAACTACAAAGAGAAATAAGCAGACTATTTGGAGTGATTAAAATATTCTGTCTCCTGGGGCTGGCCCCGTGGCCGAGTGGTTAAGTTCACGCGCTCCGCTGCAAGCAGCCCAGGGTTTCGTTGGTTCGAATCCTTGGCGCGGACATGGCACTGCTCATCAAACCACGCTGAGGCAGCATCCCACCTACCACAACTAGAAGGACTCACAACGAAGAATATACAACTATGTACCAGGGGGCTTTGGGGAGAAAAAGGAAAAAATAAAATCTTTAAAAAAAAAAAATATTCTGTCTCCTGATTGTGCTGGTGGTAACACAACTGTGTGAGTTTCTCAGAATTCATAGAAATGTACACGTAAAAAGCGTGAATTTTACTACATGTAAATTACACCTCAAA